TAAAACATTTTTGTTTGTTTCAAGCGGAACAAAACAAGGACAATAATGACAATATCAACAAATATTTCTCTTTTTTGTGTTTTCTTTAATTTCTGCGAAGTAATGTCTCGGTTTTTGTGTGCAAGTATCGGGGCCAAGCGTAGAGATGGAATTATCGATTTCTTCGAGGTGGAACTGCCAACAGTTGTCGTTCATTAAGTCAGATTCTTGGCTTTATTATCAGCTTTTATGCGAAATAGTGTCTAATAATACAATCAAAACTTCTGTTATTGACAATCGCAATTCGTATGCCTCTATTTGAATTTATGCAAGAGTTAAGCAGAATACAGTACGGAACTAATTAATGGAAGGGATATAAGAGTATTTTTATGATCTGTTTTGTTTTTTTCCACGAAGAAAAGATATATCTGCCTTGAAAATCAGCATTAAGAGATTCTGATGTTTTACCTAGGCTCGAACACATGGATGGCTAAAATTCATTTTTATGAATAAAAATGCGTTAGTTATATTCAATTGTTTAGAATTTTGCTCATCTACTATAGAATATCATCTGATAAGAAAAGACAAGAGATTTCGGTTTATTTGATTACATTTCTAGATTTCTTCTCTATGGTTAGGTCCTTCTTTAGTAATTAGCAAGCTCCCCAGGCAGACCATTCCTGTTATAATCGATTACCTCACAATTATGGTCTTGTGTGCACTAAGCTAATCAGTTCCGCTGAAAACATGGGTTCTCTTTCAATCACCGGAGGTAACACATTCAGCACCAGATAGTGGTGATTACGTAACGTCTCCCTTTTGAAATTTATACCTTGTCTGCATTTTGTTCTCTGCACACTGTCTAATGAAGACCCTACTTCCGACAAACGTCATCAAGAGTACGACAAGGACAAAATAAACGTCTTAATATATGTTTTGCAATAAATCTTTGCTTGTTATACTTCATTGAACTTATTTTTAACGCATCTAAAACTAAGAATTAGATAAGGATAGAAAATGAATTGAGCAAGTAAACAAAAACAGCAAGGGACATAAACCAATGGATGTGTCTTCTCACTGGATTCATTTAACCTATACAGCGAGCCATTCCTAACAGAACTGGAAGTCCTAATACACACAGATAACACAGTGTTAGTGGCACAAAAATCTAGGAAAGGAAAGAAGGAAGAAAGGACTATTGTAAGAAGGCAGAATATGTTGTCATTAGCAAGAGGGACAACCCAAGATGCAAGCTATGAATTAGGGATGTCAAATGGAGGAAGTAAAGAAATATAACTATTTAGAAGGTGTTATAACAGGAGGTGACACCGAAATACGAAGGCGGATTGGAACAGTAAAAGATGTTTTACAAAATCTAAGCAAAGTATTAGGAGAGAGGAAATTTAGTTAGAAGGCTTAAGATCCATTCGGAAAGTGAGAAAATGAATCTACTTATGAAATGATTAATAATTAAAGTGCCATGCGTGATACACGCTTAGGCGATCATGTATCTTTCGATACATGACTGACTAGGCAGATTTTTTTCCTGCAGTAGGTTGCCATTTCTTTCTGCGGTAGACCAATTGCGATCCAAGGTTATAGCTGAGGGATACAGAAGAGGATTCATACCTTTCCCAAGGGTATTAGCATGTAAGTGAACGTAATGGATTTGACTAGAATTCGAACTCAGCTCTCCGATTCCTCAATCCGAGCCGCTATCCATTACTCCAACAGCCTCCTAATGAAATAACAGAAACTAATATTGGATGGCGTCTAAACACTTGTTTTCTTATTTTGTTTTTTGTTGTTGTGCTTTCGACAAAATCAGAAATCAAAAGTCGCATTGGAATAATGAAAGATGCCTTCCAAAAGCTAAATAAAATATTAAGTAACAGGAAATTTTCGTTAGCAGTTCAGCATTCTTTTGATTCTATACCAAACCAATTCCTCTGTATGGATAATCTACTCAAAGAAGAAAAGAGGAGATATACTTCTTCAAAAGGATGCTGATAATACCATGGACAGAACACGTGAGCAAAGTTTTATACTTAAGATCAGAAAGAAACAATTGAAATTTCTGTGGAATATGAGGAAAGTGGGCTTGGTGAATTTGACACTCACAAGACATTGAATGTGTTGCGTTTTGTGTCATGTGTGGTTTCAATTCTTCAGTTCCCAACGTTACAGCAAATACTGCATCAACGACGGAATTTTTTTTTTATATGTCACTTCGTTTCATGAGAGACATTAATCGTAGCATCGTTTCAAGGAGGGAGGGGAAGAGATAAAGAGAGAGGACGCATGTGAACCGGTTGGCCAAAATCTCATCGCCACGTGCTGACTTGCCTCACTCAGGAATCAAGATGCGACGATACATCTTTACTCTTGAGTTCTTGCAGCCACCTGAGCGTCATTTTGGACTTCTATTAAATCTAAAACAAAGGCAAGCCATCGCTGTCAGAATTTCCCGCCGTTGTGGTTCAAACTAGAGTTCTGGTCAGTAGTTTGTCATTATGGGTCAGCCTAAATATTCTATAACGAAGACAGGAGATAGAAAAGGAAACGGCAAGCAGCTTACCTAACAAACTTGTGTAAAATGGATGACAAAACAAAGATTCAGGGCATAGTATGAAAGCAAATATGGCTTAGAACTGCGAAAGAATATGAAGTTGTAAGGAGTCAGGATCATCCACGCCCTGATGAGACATGGACTATAAAAGGATTTAAATGGATAGCATAGATACAGCAGATACTCTAAGCAACTACTTACCACGTACCAGACTAAAGAAAGCGTAGTAAATAAATATAAACAAACCATTATTAATATAGTGACTTTGATTCACACTTTGTGCGCCATGACTGTAGCCTTGCTTGAATCAAAGTTTCAAAAATACCGACATCACAATAAAGTCACTCATTTTGAAGACAATGTATTCCTGAAAAAAAAATGCCAAATAACTTTTAAATTGTGTTTACTTTGAACTAAATTTCTCATTGTTTTAACGGTTCATTTCCCTTATTAGCATAGTTGTATAGGTTTTTATTAAGAACACCATTCTAGAAATTCTGATGGAAATTCGACAGTTCCAAAAGGTAATCCTTGTAGATAAATTTTAATTAGTGAATAAGCTTTGTCTAAATCAAGGGGAACACCCAAAAGATTAAGGGTGCTATCAGGATTCAAATTTTGTTTGCGCCATACAGATATCAAATATCTGAGCTGATAATTGAACTGATCGCTAGACAGTGAACGTTTTTTGTACTATAGAAAAAAACTTTTTTGTTTCCTCCCCCAACTTCATTATATTTCTGTTATAGTTCGCCAGGTTCCTGTCATACAGCAATGGTTAGCAGTTTCGTTTCGCATTATTGATTTCGATTTCACTGGGTATCCTATAACAAAAGAATTAGCGTTGCTATTTGTCCGTCTCGAGACATCTTGATCTGCCTATACATCAAAATTCCCCTATTTGTATTGCTGGTCGAATGCAAAGTAAAGGATAAACCAATACAATTTGATGCCGGCGTAGCATCAGGAAATTCCATGAATATGAGGCAGGGTGCCATCCCTCGAACTTCAGGGACCCAGTCCGATTTACGTAGAATTTACCACTTAGCTTGCTATTCCTTAAGACGCGCACAGAGTTAATTTTCCTTTTCCTACACTGGCTGCCATCCAAGGTAAGAGAACCCAAGGAAGATAGATTCATGTGTTTTCTAAGGAGAAGAGAGATAGAGAGGACGCATGTGAACCGGTTGGCCAAAATCTTATCACCACGTGCTGACTTGCCTCACTCGGTAATCTGGGTGCGGCGATACATATTTACTCCTGAATTCTTGCAGCCGCTTCAATGTCTTCGCGTCTTTTTGCTCTTAAATCTAAAAGCCATCACTATCAGAATTTCACGACCATATGGTTCATTTATTATCTGTTAAAAAACGGTTTCCTTCCGGTTTCAAAAGAGACGAAACCTTGCTAGGCATTCGCTGTTTTCATGGCAAATCTTCAGACGAGCTGTATTCCTTAGTTTCAGATCTTCATAGCTAATACCCGCCATGCCACACACACAGGGTCAATTCATCCTTATTCTAATCGTATTCCATTTGTAGGGAGGAAGTTCTAATCAGCTTCTTTGTCAGAACTGCTAATTTGGGAAACAGACTCCGGAAAGGATACTTCCCCGATCACTACCATCTTAACCTGTAAGTCTAGGGTCAAATCATTGTTTATTTCATAGATTGTCGTGAAATGCAGTTACTTCCACTCTGCACACTCTTACAACAACCTTATTCAATAACCCTCTATCTTGAGTAACTCTTGAGCCTTATAATAATCCGAAATGTGTTTTGAGTATAAAAACCGATGGCTCCTTAAAGTATAATAATAATAAGGTATGAATCAATAGAAGAGATATTTGTAATTAAAATTTTACAATATCGAAAATGAGATTTACAATTTTCCTTTACCAATTTTTACTTCATGCCATTTTTGTTGTTTTTTTTTCTACGCCTACTAATAATAGTAGACACAATAATCTTAGATAAAATCTAGTCATTATCAATTTTTGAGAAGTACGTTTTAATCTTTTTTAGATCCTTCGATTTATTCGGAAATATTTTTTCTATCACTTAATACTATTACGCTTACTGCCTGTCCGTATACAAAAGTAATATAATCTAGAAAAAATCTGATATAGCTATATAAATTTAAATGATAAAGTCGCCTAATCGGTAAGATCTTGTCTTAATTTATTGATTCGTTTTCTACGGCTTATCAACACTTTGCAGGTTATTTAAAGCCAGAAAATATTTTAGATTGTAATAATTTCTTTTTTGAAATAATAATGGTTTAGGGAAACAAGATTTACTGATTAACCCATAACCGGGAGGAGAAGTGGGTTCATATATTTCCCAAAGATATTTGCGTCTAAGTGAATATGACGAACCCAACGAGAATTAGAACTCGGCTCTTCGATTAAAAAATCCGGGCCGTTATCTATTACACCATCCGCACATCCAAGATTACAGCACCTGGTATTCCCAAACGAGCAACCATCTAGGTACTGACCAGGCTCGACGTTGCTTAACTGCAATGATCATACGGGAACCGATGTTTCAACGTGATGTGGCCGTAAGCGTAAATCTTGTTTGTTAGATAAGCCATGAATAATATCGGATACAGGTTCAAATCATCTTCGGAGGTTATTTCGTTATTTCCAGTCTATGCTGCTTGACCTAAGCGATAAAAAGAAAGTAAAATAATACTCATCAAAAATTAATAAGTAATTATAAGTAAATAATGCTTCATGTAAGACATTCGGAAACTTAAAATTAATTTCTGACTGCAGTTTCTGGGATGAAAGATTATAAGCAATATATGTTGGTCTATTCGAATTGGTGTCTGCGTCCTGGTCTATAAAAGACCAGGTAACAAACAAACATTACGTTTTCACAACCTGATCGTTTTATCGAACAAATGTCTGAAGTATTAGATCGGAACGAAAGTTTCTAACGTTTTTATTTGAATTTCAAAGATATTATTTAGGGTAGCGCACAAACTTCGTAGCGAATCAATCATCCAAATATTTTCAAATGCCTTACAATGCTTATATGAGATACGTGGAGCATCTTTAATGTCTCGTGTCGTATAAGATGGATTATTTTAAATCAGGTTTTTGATTTGGCCATCATCAAATCACCATCATGCCGGAAAGTTTTTTGTCTTCCAGGTCAAAATTTCCACTTCTGAACCTATTGAACGACTTACAAATAGTACTCTCAGCTACTGTTTCCATAAATAACATATGTCGTTTTTGCTGCTTGTACAGCGACTTTTCCTTTCCGGAAATAAAAGTGTATCTGATTCCTTCTTCCATGCTCTAGAGCCAGATCAGACCATAAATGAAGCTTCACGATCTTCTCTCTCCAGCCTCGATATATTACAAAAGCGTTTGCGCGGCCTTGTTGGTGATTAATTCGCCCCTAGAACGCCCTTTTGCTTCTTACCCCCCCTTATTCCATAGCTACTTTTATGGCAGATGTTTGGACGAACTACATCCCTTGTTTTCACCATTCCAGATCCTCAAAGCTAGGACCCACCAGGCCCCGTACACTGAATAGACTGCTACCCATTCCTTCATATCCCCTTACGAAATTGGAAGCTCTTCCCCAGAACAGTCAAGCTATGGAACAGACTCCTGGGAAGATGCTTCCCAATCACTACAATCTTGACTTCTTCAAGTCTGGGATCAACCATTGTCTATCCTACATATCCTTTTAATAGGCACTTCTCGCTCCCTCTTTATACGCCCTTTTAACAACCTCAATTAATAACCCACTATCTTTAATGGCTCTTGGGCCTTTTAGTGGATGAACAGAGGTGAACCATCATCATTCTCTTCGTATTCAATTGGTAAGAAGTTCCATTTGGAGAGCTTCTTCCCAAAAGATTCCCAAAAGATACTGCTTTGTGGAACATGCTCCCGAGTGGATGCTTCTCCAATCACTACAATCTTGACCTCTTCAAGTCCCTAGTCAACCGTTATCTATCTTACATATCCTCATAATCTGTAATTCTAATGCCCATAAAACAGCTCCATTCAGTATTCCTCTAACTTGAGTGGCTCTTGATACTTGTATTGCATGAACAATATATAAAAATTGTATGATCGGCTATTCAAAAATAGCCTAGTTCTCTCAGACATTGTTGCAAATATCAAGGGTAACGAAATGGGTAGGTGATGTCCGTACGTAGAGTAGCCAATCATTACCAAGCTTTCATTCGAGATTTTGCTTGCTTCGTTCAAAGATGGAAACCAGCTAAAGCAGCAGGTGGCGTGCCACCAATTCTAAAAGCGGCACCACCAAGTCTGGTATTACACTTATTTATCAATGATATAAATAATTAGATTATATTTAATCATATTTTTAACAGTTCTAATATCTTAATACGAACACCTGTTCAAAGGACGTCGGAAATTGATTTCATATAAGGAACAATGAAAATGCAAAGAGAAATCGTCTTTTCTGGAATTTTTTCCCGTCCAAAATTTAGGAAAAACAATTTAAATTCCTATAATCTAGCAGAGTTTTGAGGCTCTATGCAAAAGTAATTCACTGTATTTTCTCGATACAATGGGGCTTACTTGGTGATTCTCTTTAGGCTGGCCGTTTGTTATTCGAGTAACATGCGACAGAATGTACTGGTTTACATGGTACCAACGACAAAGAGTAATCCCAAATTCCTTTTTTTTTTTTCATTTTTTTTTTATTTTGCAGACCAAAATTTGGTTCCGAATCAAGCGTGTATCAAGTATGGCTGTATCATTTGATACTGGTCTGTTTAAATGTTTATATCTCGGTATGAGAAATTTTGCTCACAAATAAGCAAACCCATCTTGACTGTGGATCATAAAATAAAAATACAAAAATTAGTTCTCTGCCTAAGCAAACAGTTGCTATTGTTTTGTGCTAACAAGCTGATATCGATACTAATTAGACATAGATAACTGTACCGAATTTGCATGCATTGTACAGAATTTGCATTTTAGGAAAATCTATGGCAAAGTAGAAAAAAATTTCGTGTGACGTATTTCATCCTTTAGAACTTCATCGGACTAAAGTGATATTTGCGTTAATGTAATTACACACGTGCATGAAGGAGATGGGACATTGAAATTCTAGATTTATTTTTTTATGCGTTTTCTTTTTTAATAATCCTGGCAAATACGATCTGGGTCTCTTCAAGTCCAAGATCGACCGATATCTATCCTACATATCCTCATAATAAGCACTTCTAAGCACTTCCACTTCCCTTACAACCACCTCCCTCTGTAACCCTCTACCTTGAGTGGCCACTTGGATTTGTATTGGGTGAAATACCTTTTGTGGCCACTTGGCCTTGTATTGGATGAACTACCTTGAGTAGCCACTTGATCTTCTATTGGATGAACTACCTTGAGTGGCCACTTGGCCTTCTATTGGATGAACTACCTTGAGTGGCCACTTGACCATGTATTGGGCGAACTACCTTGAGTGGCCACTTGGCCTTAATTTATGTGAACTAAGGTAAAAGAAAATTAGTTGAAATGCTATCCTCGTCTTCTTTGATTATAGAATACCTTACTCGGTATGATTTCCGACTTTTTCAGGTGTACCAGACAATCTTTGAATCGTGTCTAATTATTTGTGTTTGGTTTCCTTTCTCAATTTCCGGTTTTGTTTGCAAAAGAAACGCCCGAGGGGATACTTCCCTGACAAACACAGTCTTAGTCTCTTCAGGTAATATAACCGAACACTTTATTTACCCCAGTGGACTAAATAAAGGCTTCGGTTCGAAATTCCAACGTATATCACCTGAAAAAGGCCGAAGCGTATCACAGCCGAAACGTCGTGAATATGACAATAAAGATAATGAACAACAATGTATATATATATATATATATATATATAGTCATCCATAGACTGTTTTGCTGTATCACAGCTCCTCAGTGTGGCTCGACATCCGATCGCCTCAAGCCGGGACCGAAAACCGACCGATTTGGCATTAGTTGGAGATATGGGTGTGTGTTTGTATTTTCCAACCGAACGGCCTTGTTTTTGATCACTAAGACTGTTCATCTCAATCATTCTCTGTTTCAACTTCTAAGTTTCTTACACCAGTGAAATGTGACCGGTCAGTAAGCTGATCGGACTGCCGTGCCACAACAAGAATGAACGAGGAGTCAAAGTTGATGACTTGGTCGACAACCAATAGAGAGCATCGTTTCGTACGGAAGCGTCCTCTAAAATAAAAATGGATGTTTCTGGGTAGACGTCGCGTTCAGCTAAGCGGTAAATCAGGTTCTCTTTTATTGTTGGGTCTATTAGCAAAGAGGTGTTATTTCATTAGTCTGGGAATTCAATGGTTTGGAATGGCTTTTATACGTGAGTGCCTACCGTCTGAATGTTTTTGTTTGTTTTTTTCTCCCTTTTGTGGTTTGCCTACTTAATTTTATACGTTCCATTGTTTGTTTCTGTTTCGTAGGTATTTATATCGTAAGGTTATTGCTGGGTTTATACGTATCACGGACCAATAGCCTCTCTGCTGACATTTCTCGAGTAATGGCAATATTAAAGCAACTATTAGCGTTAAAGCGACAGTGTACATACAAAGAAAATGTTACGAGGAATAAGAACATAAAACAAAGAAAAGCTTCTATACGCTATGACATTTTAATGCACTTTTTTTTAGATTAGATTAAGCAACGAATTAGTTTGTGTACACGTCTTCATAAAAAGCGATTTAAAAAAGCTGAACGTTTTCTTTACGTAAAAAGAAAAGCTGCTATATTTTTATTTTAAGGAAAAAAGGCGGTGTTTTATCTTCTTTTCATTACAGTTTAAATAATTCTGAAATTAAACGAAATTCGCTATCAAAACAGGTTTCGATTTAATTGATTTTAAAATTGCTAAAAAAAGAACGGTTAGAAATTGTTCAAAGTAATCTTTTATTACCATTGATTTAATACTAGCTCATGAAAAAAAAATAGAGCTCTATGCCACCTTCGTTGGCCTGATAAACGACGTTCGACACGGTAAACCTGTTAAGTCTTTTTGATACTCTTGGGAAAAACCGGGTTGCCCACTAAACTTTCTTACAATAGTTACCAAATTTCCAAAGTCAACGCTTATACAAATCATATGTAACAGGTTTCGTTTTAATGTTTTAAAAATACTTTAATAAAAAAAGAAAGAAGAATTAATGTATTCTCTTCAATACAGCAAACTCAAATTTAAACACCTTGTAGAAAGCATGCAAGACAGAAGAAAAGCGATAGATTGATTTCTTTTTTAAGGCTTATCAACCTTTTGCGGGTTATTTAAAGCCAAATAATATCTCTTAGACTGTAAGAACGTTTTGGAGATTTACTGATACAAGTCTTACTAATTAACCCATAGCTGGAGGGAGAAGAGATGGATTCATATCTTTCCCAATGTTATTTGCTAGTAAGCGAATATAATGATCCTGACCGGAATTAAAACTCGTCTCTCCGATTTCAAATTTCGAGTCCTTATTCGTTTCACCACTCAAACATTCAAGCTTACAGCACCTAGTATTTTTAAGTGGTCACCCATCCAGAGCCTAACTAATCTTGACGTTGCTTAACATCGGTGATCGTACGAGAACCAGTGTTTCAACGGAATTTGGCCTTGAAAGAAAGCGAGAAGAAAGGACTAAACACCAATTGTAAGAAGACAGAATACATGGTTGTCAGCACAAGGAAAAGGTCAACTGCGAATTACAAATTGGGGATGCGAAAATCAAGCAAGTGCAACAATTTAAATATCTTGGAAGCGTCTTAACAGAGGACGGAAAATGCGGCACCAAAATCCGAAGGGACATTGGGATAGCGAAAGATATCTTCCAAAAGCTAAGCAAAGTATTAAGATATAAGAAAATTTCGTTAGAAACAAAGAAAAGAGCACTGGATTGTTACGTAATATCAGTCCGCTTCCTATATGGCGGTGAATGTTGGACCATCTTCGCACAGATGAAGAAGAAACGTGAGGCGATAGAAATTTGACTCCACGGAAGAATGCTGAGAATACCATGGACTGAACACGTGAGAAATGATGAAGTTTTAGAGAAAAGGAAAAGAAAATGGACAATTATATTTAATATCAGAAAGAGTTGAAATTTCTAGGGTACATAATAAGAAAAGAGTGCTTGGAAAATTTGACCCTCACAGGTCATATTGAAGGCAAGAGAGACAGGAAAACAGCGCATTAACTTCGTAACGAGTCTGTGTAAATGGATGGCAGGTCAGGGCTTAGGAGAAGTAAGAAAAAGACAAAATTTACTGAGAGCTTTAAAGTACAGGAGATTGTGGATAGACATGATCGCCCACGCCCTGTAGGGACAGGGAACACAGAATTAATACTTTAGTAAGTCTGTACGTGCCTAAGCAAACATTTTAATAACCACAAATTTTCCAGTTTCTCAGCCAAATGTCACCGCGAAACTATTTCCAGTCCGCGCGCATAAGGGATCCAAAACCCATTAGAAGCTATGATCTGCCAGGCCAGCCAAAGAAACGGACGAGAGGACAAACTGCTAACGGTTGTGTGTCGTTAGAATTCTTCAGCTATTTGACATATGTCTCCGCCTTAATAAATTTAGTGAAGCCACAACAAACAACTCTCGAACTGGTGAGGATTCACTCTCTACATAAAATATATTTTTTTATGAAATAGAAAGTGTTTTCCCCACACTTATGTGTCTTTGACTACGTCTTTTTCTATAACTTCATTTCCAAATATCATAATACCAGTACTACCAAGCCCCCTTGGATTCTTGTCAACATCTCCCCAGTCCCTGGTATGGGGGATTTTTTTTTCATTTTCTAAAAATATAGAGAAAATAAGATTGTAAGAAAGCTCGTATAGAAATTTTTATTTCTTCGTTTTTCAACATCCTTTTTCTTCTTTTATTTTCTTTTCCTTTTGTTTTCTTCTTTTCCTTTTGTATTTTTCTTTTCCTTTTGTATTTTTCTTTTCCTTTTGTATTTTTCTTTTACCTTTCTTTTCTTCTTTTTCCTTTCTTTTCTTCTTTTTCTTTTCCTTTCTTTTTTCCTTCTTTTTCTTTTCCATTCTTTTTTCTTTTTCATTTTCTTTTTCCTTTCTTTTTTCTTTCCTTTCTTTTTCCTTTCTTTTCTTTTTCTTTTTCCTTTCTTTTCTTTTTCTTTTTCCTTTTTTCTTCTTTTCTCCTTTCTTCTTCGTTTCTCCTTTCTTCTTACTCCTTTCTACTTTTTTCCTCTTAGTCTTTTCTACTTTTTTTCTTTTTACTCCTTTCTCCTTTTGTCTTTCTTTTTTTTTTGCCTTTCTTCTTCTTTTGTCTTTTCTCCTTTTTTTCTTCTTCTTTTGTCTTTTCTCCTTTTTTTCTTCTTCTTTTCTCTTTTCTCCTTTTTTTCTTCTTCTTTTCTCTTTTCTCCTTTTTTTTCTTCTTCTTTTCTCTTTTCTTTTTTTCTTGTTCTTTTCTCTTTTCTTTTTTTTTCTTGTTCTTTTCTCTTTTATCCTTTTTTCTTCTTCTTTTGTCTTTTTCTCCTTTTTTTTCTTCTTTTTTTTCTTTTCTCCTTTTTTTTTCTTCTTTTCTCTTTTCTCCTTTTTTTTCTTCTTCTTTTCTCCTTTTTTTCTTCTTCTTTTCTCTTTTCTCCTTTTTTTCTTCTTCTTTTGTCTTTTCTCCTTTTTTTCTTCTTCTTTTGTCTTTTCTCCTTTTTTTCTTCTTCTTTTCTCTTTTCTCTTTTTTTTCTTCTTCTTTTGTCTTTTCTCCTTTTTTTTCTTCTTTTCTTTTTTTTTTCCTTTTTTCTTCTTCTTTTTCTCTTTTCTTTTTTTTTCTTTTCTTTTTTCTTTTTTCTTTTTCTTTTTCTTTCTTTTTTTCTTTTTTTCTTTTCTCTTTTCTCCTTTTTTTTTTCTTCTTTTCTTTCTCCTTTTTTTTTCTTCTTTTTTCTTTTCTCCTTTTTTTTCTTTTTCTTTTCTTTCTTCTTTTTCTTTTCTCCTTTTTTCTTCTTTTTTCTCTTTCTCTTTTTTTCTTCTTCTTTTCTCTTTTCTCCTTTTTTTTCTTCTTCTTTTCTCTTTTCTCCTTTTTTCTTCTTCTTTTCTCTTTTCTCCTTTTTTTCTTCTTCTTTTCTCTTTTCTCCTTTTTTTCTTCTTCTTTTGTCTTTTCTCCTTTTTTTCTTCTTCTTTTCTCTTTTCTCCTTTTTTTCTTCTTTTTTTTCTCTTTTTTTTTTTTTCTTCTTTTTTTCTCTTTTTTTTTTTTTTTTCTTCTTTTCTTTTTCTCCTTTTTTTTTTTTTCTTTTCTCCTTTTTTTCTTCTTCTTTTGCCTTTCTCTTCTTTTTTCTCATTTCTTCTTCTTCTTTCGCCTATATTCTTTCTCCTTCCTTCCTTATTCTTTTTCTCTTTCCTTCTTCTCCTCCCTCATCATTTCTTCTTTCTCCTTTTGTCGTCTTTTTCTTTCTCCGTTCTTCTTTTTCTTTCGTTTTTCCTCTTCCTTCTCCTTTCTTCTTTTTCTTTCTTCTTTTTTGTTATTCTTTTCTTCTTCTTTCTCCTTCTTCTTCTTTCTCATTTCTTTTATTTTCTCCTCTTCTTCTTCTTTTTTCTCTTTTCTTCTTCATTTCTCCTTTCTTCCTACTCCTTTCTACTTCTTCTCCTTTGTCCTTCCTTCTTTTTCTTCTTTCTCCTTTCTCTTTTTCTTTCTTTCTTTTTCTTTCTCTATCTTTTTCTCCTTTCTTCTCAGTTCTTATTCTTTTATCTCTTTTCTTATTCTTCTATTTTCTTTTTCCTTTCCCTTTTTTTCCTATCTTTATTCTTCTTTATTTATTTTCTTTCTTCTTTTTTCCTGGCACATTCCCTTCTTTAACTCTCCTTCTTCTTACTCTTGTCTTTTCTTTCTTTGTCCTAAATCCTTTTCGTCTACCTCTTTCTCTTTCGTTGCCCCTTTCTTTCAGCTCTCTTTTATTTCTCTTCTTTCTCTCCTTCACTTTCTCCTTTTCTTTTGTTCCCTTTCTCTCTCTGTGATTCAAGCAATCTCTTTGTCCTAAATCCTATTTGTTTTCTGGTGACGCTCAGGTCTCACAATCCAACTCGGACATCGTTGTCGTTCTTTATTAGTGTCTGGCGTGATTTATCAAAGTTTGAGCGTTCTTTTTCCCCTGACCTCAGCCGAAAACTAGCCACAAGTCACGTCTTGTCGTCTTCGAGGTGCCCACGCTGTTCACCAAAGACCAGATATATCGATTTCTCTTGAACGGAGATTCTTAGCTACGAAGGCCTAACATTCATACTAGAATTAGTTGATTTGACACACGGCCCTCAACTCCGCCCGGCCTCGGGTGATTAGAAGATTAACTCTGACCACAACTATTACTTGATGAGATCTCAAGTTCCTTTGCGATGAAATGAGAAGCAATGTAGAGGATTGTTGGCTCACGTCTGCTATTGATAGCCATTCACAACAGAGAAGCGTCGTGAATTTTATAAATGCACTAATGAGCATAGAAAATAATGGTGTCAAAATCTCGCCATCGTCAGATTTGCAACGAGAATAGCAACGAGTATTTCGTCCCTCTTTTGTTCCACTCCCTTTCATACAAATACCTTTGAGAAATATATGACCATATATTTCTCCTCCTCCTAGCTATGGGTTAAATAGTACGGGAGATTTCTAGCGCTTCGAAGATAGTCAGTCTAAGAAAGGGACTATGAATTCAAAACTGTGGAGAAAGCAACGAGGAAGGCACTCCACTGTCTTTCCCGATAAGGTAGAGCAGTTCTAAAACGTATTGGGATAGCGAAAGATGCCTTCTAAAAGCTAAGCAAATTAAGAAACGAAGGAAAATGTTAGAAACAAAGAAAAGTATATTGAACTGTTATGTAATATCGGTCCTCCTAGATGGCAATGAATGCTGGACAATCTACTCACATATGAAGAGAATTAAAGCAATGAAAATGTGATTCTACAGAAGGATGCTGATAATAACATGGACCGAACATGTGAGCATCTACGAAGTTTTAGAGAAACTGGAAACAAAAAAGACACATATACTTAACATCAGAAAGAGACAGTTGAAATTAATGAGGAAAGAGGGCCTGGAAAATTTGATCCTCACAAGACAGACTGAAGGGAAGTGAGACAAAGGAAAACAGCGCATTACCTACCTAGCTAGTTAGAGTAAATGGATGGCGGGACAAGGGTTAGGAGAGATTAGCTAATAGACAAAATTTATTAAGAGCTACTAAATATGAAATCTGCCTAGGATTAGATTAATCCATTAAACGCCAAATACGGTTTCATATAATTCAAATAAATTATTTTACTCTGTTACCAATAAAAACGTTTCGTTGAATATGGCGGCAAGAAATTATCTGTGACGGATAAAAAACAGAATCTTTAAATATAAGCATTTTATACTTGCAAAAGCGTCAATTTGAGATGAAAGATACGTACCTTTTATATTTACTTACCTATATATTCCTTTATATTTAAAGGCCAAAGGATGCTAAGAATACCATGGACTGAATAGTGATTTTCTAAGGGCTGCTTAGATGTGTCGCAAGGCCGGAAGTACGGAGCACCCAGTGAGAATCGAACTCACCATGGACTGAATATGTGAGCAATGACGAAGTTTTAGAGAAAATGGAAATAAAAAGGAAACTTATAACATAAGGAGTGTTGAAATTTCTATGGCACATAATAAGGAGAGAGGGCTTGGAAAATCTGATACTCACAGGACAGACTGAAGTCAAGAGGGACAGAGGAAAACAACGCATAACGTACTTAGTGAGCTTGAGTAAATGAATTAAATCAGAAGATAAATAATAAACAAAATAACTTGTCTACTTGTACAAAAGTTCCTTTTTTTCAAATTGCGAAAGATTAAGCATTCCACATCATGAATATCAAAAGAAATCTTGGCGCTGTTACACTTTCGCACCCCACCCCGTGTGTATTGTAACCAAATCAGAATTGGCGTTAATCTTTCTAATTGTTCAATAAACGAGACACTATGAAAAATGACTTGCTAAATATTCTTACAAGCACATAACAAAAGTAGAATAATATAGCAACAATAACGTTATATAAAAATCATATTAAGCCTAAAAAAAGCCATATAAACAAACAATTTCAACATTAAGGATACAAAAAAGTATGGGTGCTTACTTATAACAAGGCGGGGGTGCGAAAGTGTAATAGCCCCGAAATCTTTTTTTATTAAATTTTGTAAAAGTTAATATGGATTCCTGTTTACCATGTGAATTGGTACACTCTTCTTCTTCTTCTATTTTCCATGTCCCTTCAGGACTTAAGTGATCTGGCTCTCCACGATTTCCTATCCTCTGACTTTTAGTAATTTTTTTTCTTTCATTATCTCTGCTGTCCTGCCAACCATTTACACAATTTCGTTGTGTAGGTTATGCGCTGTTTTCCATTGCCCCTCTTGCCTTCAATATGCCCTGACAGTGTCAAATTTTCTAAACCCTCTTTCCTCATTATGTGACCTCGAAATTTCAACTGTCTCTTTCTACTGTTAAGTAGAAGTGTCCTTTTTGTTTCCATTTTCTCTGAAACTTCATCATTACTCACATGTTCAGTCCATGGTATTCTCAGCATCCTTCTACGGAACAATATTTCTGTTACTTCAAGTCTCTCCTTCATCTGTGAGGAAATTTCCAGCATTTACTAGCATATAAGATGATTATTTTCTTTGTTACGCAAGCCAAAACAAATATTGCTCATACGAAAAATTTAAAAAACAAGTGAAATTTGAATGGACTGTTTATTCGATAGTAATATATGAAAAAAGAACTCCAGAAAAACGTCAAGTTGAGATGAAAGATACGTACCTTTTATATTTACTTACCTATATATTCCTTTATATTTAAAGGCTAAAGAATGCTGAGAATGCCATTGACCGAATATGTGAGCAACGACGAAGTTTTAGAAAAAAATGAAAACGAAACTTATACTTAATATCCGAAGGAGACAGTTGAAATTTCTAGAGGGTTTGGAAAATCTGATACTTACAGGACAGATTGAAGGCAAGAGGGATAAAGGAAAAACAAAAAAGTTTTCATTTTAACAAATTATGCCCTATGAGCATGTTTTTTTTCTTCCGTAGGGTGAAAAATTCACGTTGACTTTACATAACAAACTAGATCCCACTATAAATCTTTATAAAATTGAAGGACACTTTTATTGGTATTTCGTAATGTGAAGTGCTTAATCTATAGTAAAATGCGAAAAAATTGGGGGAAATTGTTATATCGCAGTGCCTATTGTATAACTCGACCGCTGATCTTAATGAAGAAATTAAACTTTAACAAATCACTAACAGAAGAGAAAGTGTTTTGGTTATCATACATTGTCCCTTTAATATAAAACAACATTTTTCCATTAATTTAGCTTCGATGCTCTAAGTGACCAATATCAGCCCGGTTTCGTTTTCGAGTTACAAATTAAATGAAGCTGCCCGATCCCCGGAAAATGCGTCTAATTGCGTTAATTAGGCTAGAATCAGTGGATGCACACAGACGCCTATAACAAATGACCAATGGAACTTAGTCATTGTACCTTTATATTCATTCAAGCATTATACACACACGTGGGGGCCCAACAGTTATGTGCCATGCGTGATACACGCTTTCGATACTTGACTGACGAGGCAGATTTTTCCCGCAGTAGGTTGCCATTACTTTCTGCGGTAGACCAGTCGCCATCCAAGGATATAGAAAACGGTTTGTCGTGCTATTTATTCATAACTGGGAAGGGAGAAGATGATTTATACCTTTCCCAAGGGTATTAGCACGTAAGTCAATCTAATGGATGTGACTGGAATTCGAACTCAGCTCTCCAATTTCTCAATCCGAGCCGCTATTCATTGCTCCACCATGCCCAACATTAAACCAAATTGTGTGCCCTATTTCTCTACGATATATATATATATATATATATATATATATATATATATATATATATATATATATATATATATATATATATATATATATATATATTTGAATCTCCCGTTGAAGCCTGAAGAGCGGGAGCGAAACCGGTTGCTTCCCCCCTCGTTATTGTTTTTTTTTTTGTGTGTGTGTGTTTAATATGTCTTGTAATATTAAATTTTATACTTTTATTTCGATCATTAAATTTTGTACCTACAAAAATATCTTTAAATATATATATATATATAATTTCTCTCTCATCGAGGGATAAAAAGAAAAAACCTAACCCTGACTCGCAACTGAACAGGATTTCAATCTAGAACACACCAGAAATCGGCACCAAAACAAACGTTAGTATCAAGTTGATATTAACTATGAAAATCTGGCACGGATTTCTTCAATGATCTGATATTAATAGAATGATGTATTAGCTGTTGTACGATTGGAAATATATTCGTAAAGCATTTTTTTACGGAGAGCAAAAAGAAAATACTTTGTATAAATAAATTTAATTCAGTACTCAATCTGCCGAGGATTAGATATAAAAGAACTCATTAAACGCCAAATACGGATTCACATAATTTAAGTAAATTGTTTTATTCTATTACAAATGTGTTTCGTTGAATATTGTTGTAGAATGCGCAAACCAGAGCCAGAATGATCAGCGATTGACTGGACTGCTTCGTGAGTGGTGCATTCTGAGTGTGATGGATTATCTTTGTCTGGGTTTTGAATATAAGTCCAAAACGACGCGAGTTCAACAGAGGGTCGCAAGAATTCTGAAGTGTCGATATGCTTCCCACACCAAGGTTTGCGACCGGCTAATACCACCCCCGGAGTAACGCTGAGCCAATGTGCAACATGCGTTACTGTACCATCATTCCACCCGCTGCCTTTTAGAATCCAAGCTGCGACTCTTAATAAAACGAATATTACCCTTTTTCCTTGATACCGTTTTATGAATAGTGTGGGGATCCCGAGACGACAAAGAACTCAACAATATAAAGGAGAAGGAATATTTTTAACGGCTACAGTATTCACCGAAATAAAACAAATGATTGCTGCCCAAAGAT